AGCAGCAAATAAGGAGTGCATTGTGTTTCACTGTATGCTGAGGATGGCTGTCATGGTGAGCTAGCAAACCCTTCTGTAATTGGCATACAGGAATTTTGCCAAAGTCATGGAAGCAAAGTGGTTTGTTACTTGCCTTTGAGGACTTGAGAAAGATCTGTCTTGGATATCCTCTTGTTGGCCTTATCAAGTGAACTTTCATGTGTTTAGAAGGTCATGGAGAAAATCATTAATATTGGGTTGATTTGATGGCTGAAAGGTAATAAGTATTTCCTGCTTATCAGATGGGGTTTGAGAGGACTTTGAATAGCACGATCTGTTTATCTTTTGCAATCGGTACGGCCCTTAGCGAGAGGGATTTTGTATTCCTGATTCAGCTGGGGGAATAACAAATGGTTTGCTCTCCATTGAGGCTTGGAGGCTCCGTAGCATAAATAGCAAAAACATCAGGAAATTCTGAAGTCCAACTCCCAGCTAACTTGGCCATGTTGTGGGCCTTGGACATCTCATACTGTAATGCTTTATGACATGAACAACAACAGATTAACATCCCCTGTTACTGGAAAGCTCAAAGTAGAAAATCCTAAGTGCATGGAGGTTGATTGGGTGGAAAGCCAAATCCTGTGAATGTGGCTTGGCACAGTGGGGATTTCATTGACCTTGGTGGGGCTGGACTTGCTCTCTGTTCACACGAGGCATCCGTGAGTGCGGAGATGGGGCACAGCCCGTGCGGGACTGACACCGCTGCTGTCGGAGGCTTTTCTTGGATTGCTGTGTAGTGAAACCTTGGGTGGCATCAGCAAAATGGTCTTTCCCTCACCCTGTGTCTGGGATTTAACAAATAGGGGAGTCATTCTTTAAGCTGAAGGATTGTTGTAAAGCCATTTAAAATGAAACTACTCATTGTGTAAGAATCATTTGGCAAAAAATCACTGGAAAATCTCCCATGTGGACTTGCTGAAGACAGATGTCGTTTCTGCTTCTGGTGGCTGTTTGGAAAGGAGGTAGGACTAAGTGCACCTACCTCGAATGATTGGACAAGGACAACAGAGGAGGGAGAGCTGCTTCTTTTCAGGTGTGAGGTGTTTCTGATGCATCAGTGGCTTGAGGTGATAGTTGTTTTTTAAAGGAATGCTGTTTATTCTCTTGCATAAGCTCTGTATTGCCAAGTGTGTTTTTAGGATGTCTTTGTAGCTGTATATTATCACTGAAAGGTGTAGTGACAAATAACTAATAAATGGATAAGGAACTGATGGAAAAGAGAAAGAGAGCAAGAGTGAAAATTAAACCAAATTTGATGCTCTGATTTAACGACTGGGATTTTGCAGATCTGTTACCAAAGAATGAGATGGAGTTATGTGAAACCACTATCCTGAGACGTTGAAGTTGTTGTGCATAGACAGAGGCCCATGCCAGTTGGATAGATGCAAACCAGACCATAATACAACTTCAAATCCCACCAAAATGCTGGGGGAGTCCTGCCTCCTGTCCCTGGAGAATGTCCCACAGGGCGTGGTGCTGGTCAGGAGGCAGAAGGTGCAAGCAGCTGTTCCCTTCAGCAATCTGTTGTGTGCAGCTCTGGATCCAGTCTGTGGGTTTTGCTGCCTACTGCGTGGACACGTGGATGATCAGATTGAAAGGCCAAAAAAAGATGGTGGTCCCTTTGTGTATGATATCTTTATAAGCAGCACAACATATCAACAGTATAAAAAAAAGGAAAAAAAAATCCTTTTGCTTTGGTGAAAGCCCTTAAGTTTAAGGGACTTAAAGGCATTTCTGCATTTGTTTTTATGATTGTTATGGAAATATATTTGGGGGTGAATGTACTTGTACTTCTTGACTGAGTGTTGGTGATCGGTTGCTGAAGGAGACATATGTTACTAATTTTTTTGAGATTTAGGGAAGAGAGTCTCTCTTATGGTATATATATAAATGGACCTTTTTATCTCAGAGAAGTTCGCTGCTTGAGGGAGTGTGCTCTGTAGGGCAGGGATCCTGTGAGAGTGGATTTCAGCAGTGATCAAATAGGTTTTGTCTCATGAAATCAACACTGCATGAAATTTTGTTTTCGGGTATTGATGCTCTCTGCTGCAGGCCAGATGCAGCCCAGGCTGGCACAGCTAATTCCCCTTGGCCACACTCCAGCAGAGCATCCTGTTTCCACAGAGTGGTTAAGCATGAGCTTATCTTTAAACAGGCAGCTAAATCCGGGTGGTTTCACTGCTGCTCTGGACCACAGCTTCTTGGCCAGGGGACAGGTCAGCTGCAAGGGGAACCTGTAGTGCGTTCTTCTTCCAGGATTTCTTTGCCTAGGTCAGAGCTGGGCCTGTTGCTGGAGAAGTGATGGACTGATACACACTTGGGCTGACTGTATTTCGGGGGTCAGTGTCGCCTGCTGATTCCTGCATCAAGCTGCTGCTGGGCTTGGATGAAGTGTTGGGCTGTGGGTGGTGCCAGCCATGTCCTTGGCTGGGGGAAGAGGAGATGTCATCCCCCTGCGCTGCCAGGGGGATGTGCCCTTCTTGCAAAGCTTAAATAGCTGCTCTTAGGCAGGACAGTGGTGACAAACATGCGTAGGAGTGTTGGAGATGTGTTTGGGGCTGAGCACAGTGCAGGATGCTCCGTGGGTGCTCCCCAGTCCACCCAGGCACTGCAGCTGCGGGCTGGGGCCTCTGCAGTGTGAGTGCTCCCGAGACAATTAGAAGAGAATTAAAACATGTTTTCGAAAACAGATTGCCTTTTCTGTTGGGAGTTTCTAAGAAAGCAAAGCAACATGCCCTTCCCCCCACTTCAGATCCCACCTGTTTTGGTTTTTTTCCTAGAAAAATGTGAAATTCATTAACATGTGGTGAAAGCAATGTAACGACGTCATCTTGATTTAAAATCTGTTTTAAATCTTAAAATGACGGAGCCAGAATTTTAACTGCAAATAGTCTTGCTTTGTGGGCATGAGGCAGACTGTCAGCATGATTGGAACATCTCTGGGCTTGGTAGTTTAACATCCCTTGCAACAATGGCATTTGAAAAGAAAGCAAGAAGACATGTAGGAAGGAAAAAAAAGACATTAATATTATTTCTGTCAAAAGCCAAGTCCTGCTTGCCATGGTGCCTGGAGAGAGCGGAGCGAGCAGAACTCAGCTCCATACTGAAAGAACTCTGTCAGCATCCCACTGTGCCATCCTACCGTGCCTTCTGGGCAGGTGCCATAGCTGCTTCTCCTCTCACACCCTCAGTGTTGGGTCACAGCTTCTGGCTGTGCTATTTTCTGACAGTGGGAAATATTGTAACCCTTGTAACTTCTGTCAACTCCATGAATGTCTGTTTAGACCTGGCATCACCCTGAACCTCCCTTTGCCCAACCTGTGCCCATGCCTTCAGCTCCCTACGGGCTTCTGACAGCAAAAAAGAGTTAAATCACTTTCCCTCCAAAAATTCAAATAGCAGAATCCAAGCATTTAATAATGGCACCAAAGGCAATCGTGCAACATCACTGTGAACCTCATTGCTGTGGCCACTGTGCTGAATGTGGTGTTTTGGTTCAGGTTGCTTAGTGAAGGTCTGGTGCTGAGCAGCACTGCCGGCCTGAAGTTTTCCTCCCGCTGCAGGCCTGGTTGTCCCCTTGATAATTGAAAAGTTCTTTTGAGGTTTTGACTTTCAGGGAGTGTATGACTTCGAAGTATTTGCTGGTATGAGATGATATATGCAGGAGGCTGAAGTGGGGCTGTTTCATGTGTTGTGGCCACTTGCTCTTATGTGTTTTAGTCTGGAATGGATCTGAAGAAGGATTTATTGGCCTTTTTCATTTGCATCGCCTGCTCCCTCCCCACACTGATACATTAGAACACTTGCTTGCAGGCCAACAGGAGGACAAGAGTCCCATGTTCCTAAATGATTTATTGTCCTGTGAAGGGAGTCTGCTACCAAAATGTTGTCCATCTGTGAGTTTGGAGTGGGCAGCGTGGATGTTATGGTGCAGATGCTCCACAGATCACAGATGGACAGATCATGGAGCGATTTTTGGGCTTTCATACTGTTTGGGTGTGAAGTGCTTTAGGGTGCATGCTGCCCAGGCTCCCCTTTGGGAGGGCATCTTGAGAACATCTGGGCTGTCAGGTACTTGGACCTTGGGCAAGTCAGGATGACTCATGGAAGCAAGAGCAGGAATCCTGTTTTGATGATTTTTGAGAATAGTTAAGATAGGAAACTAAACAAAAAGTTTCTGGTAATATTTTAAGGCTGTAGTGAACTAAGGTTAGTTTACTGCATTGGCCAGAAGAGACAGATGAGGTGGCTGAGGCAATCACACCCCTGCTGATCACGGTGTGCAGTGGCACATGACTCTCACCATTCCTTGTGATCTCTCCCCAAGCCGTGGTCCAGTTGAGGTGGACAGAAATGCATTCACAGACAATCACCAGTGAGCTGGCTTCACTGAAGGGCAGAGCTGGTGAAACAGTTAAGCTGAAGAGTGCCTGTGACACTTTTATTGCAGTAGATTTCATGCCTGTGCAAAGCTCAAGCCCAGTCTGCTAAGGGCAGCACAGATAGTTTTTCCTTTGACTTCTCCCTGGAGCTAATCTGGGGAATCAGTGCAGATGCTGAGGGTGATGCACCAAATCCCTGAGATGGGGTTGTCCATCCCCATTCTCCCGTCCGTGTCCATGTAACCTGGTAGAGGTTTTGCATATGCAATGGAGAGGCTAATTTATGGCCAGCATGCTGACCAGGATTAAATCAATGCAGGGCCAGACAGAAGTTTTTATTAAAAAAAAACCCCGTTTGATTGCAAAACCTCAAGTTTGGTTTACTGTTGAGAGCCAGCTCTGGGTAGAGTTACACGCTGAGTGCCTGATACCGTGGCCACGGCTGTCAAGCGAAGGGCAGCCAAATCTGAGTCCTCGGCACCACGTGCCCCTTGGCAGGTTGGTGTGCAGTCTTGTCCAAGAGGCTTGTTGTGTTCATGGTCTTTTCTTTTCTCTCTCCCAACTCCCCATCCCTCTCAGATGTTTGCCGCCGAGGAGAATGTGGATTTTCGGATACACGTGGAGAACCAGACGCGAGCGAGGGACGATGTAAGCAGGAAGCAGCTTCGGCTCTATCAGCTCTACAGCAGGACAAGCGGGAAGCACATCCAAGTGCTCGGCAGGAGGATCAGTGCCAAAGGAGAAGACGGAGATAAATATGGTAAGAATATTTACTGGCATCCCCCAGATTGAAGGTCAAAGGCTTTAATCCAGCATGTTGTGCAAAGAACGTCTTGAGAGAAAAATAATAAGAGCAATAAAAAGCAGAATAAAAGGAAAAAAACCCTTTCCAGATTAAGAACATGAGGTTTGTTCTGTTGGAGCTGCCTCTCAGCTGCAGGCAGTTCCCAAAATACTGCCATGCTCCAGTTTATTAGTGTATGATGGTGCTTGAAGAGAAAAATCTTTTTCTGCTCAAGGGATGGGTTATTAGGGTGTGTCTTCTGCAATTCATAAATGATACCCAAATTGGTGATTGCAGAAGTCCTTTCCCCATGAACTTTGGGCTCGAGTTTGGGCAAACTCAGTGCTTCAGTGAAGCACTCATGTTTTCAGGTGGAGGGATATTTGGTTTGAGCTGAAATGAAGCAGTCCTTAGGAGCTTTGAGAGAGCTCAAGTTGAATCTCTGGGCATGTGGATCTTACAGGAAAACAAATACAGGCGCTAACAGCGCCTTCAACTCTTCTCATTGTGATTTGCACACAAGCAGTGTGCTGGAAATGCTGCTTGAGGCCGAGTGACAAAAAAGTCTGTACTTCTGGTGTGTTTTGAGATGGTTGTGGTTGAGATGCTTTTGCTCAGGTTGGTTGTTGTGAGGATTTTAGGGCTGTTCAGAACACTCGTCCTGTTTCTCTTTGGGACGTACAGCCCCACATGTTCATGTGTTCCTGCAGAGGGGGGTGTGCACGTTGATGTGTTCAACTGGAGAGGAGGAGACTGAGGGGAGACCTCACTGCAGTTCCAACTTCCTCGGGAGGGGCAGAGGAGGGGCAGGGACTAAGCTCTGCTCTGGGGGGACCAGGGACAGCCAGGGAATGGCTGGAGCTGTGTCAGGGCAGGGTCAGGTTGGATCTCAGGCAAAGGTTCTTCCCCCAGAGGCTGGTTGGGCACTGCCCAGGCTCCCCAGGGCAGTGGGCACAGCCCCAAGGCTGCCAGAGCTGCAGGAGGGTTTGGCTGATCCTCTGGGGCACAGGGGGTGACTCTTGGGGATGGGCCTGTGCAAGGTCAGGAGTTGGACTCGACAGTCCTTATGGGTCCCTTTCAACTCAGCATATTCTGTGATTCTGTGACCATTCATGTGAGATTGCTTTCATATGCAGCACTGGTGAGGTGGAGTGCAGAATCTGGGAATGGTTTTATCCCTCAGGAAGCTTCAGGCCTGATGAGGCACAGGCTGTGCTGAGCATAGAGGGGAGCTCTGGCCACTGCTGAGGCAGAGGAGCAGCGTGAGCTGTGCCACAGGACGTGACAGCCAGAAAGCACCTGGCTGGTGTGAAGTGAACCCCCACGGCCCTTGGGTGGAGTCACCCCATCTCTCAGGGAAAGCCCTGCCCTGAGGTCTCATCAACCTTGTCCTTTGTCATTCCCAAATTTCCAGATAAAACAGGAGGGGAAAGTGCCACTTGGCTGCTAATTATTGTGTCACTTTATTGCATTCATTCTCATAAGGTTTGATATGTAAACGAATCGCTGGGTGCTGCTGCTGCCGCCCCGGCAAGGCTCCTGCCCGCGGTGGCTGTCAGGTGCCGTGATGGAGTTTTCCTCTTCGTGAAAGAAGGCGGCATTTACAGTGGGTGCAGCAGGGAAGTGTGCCCGGGAGCAGCTGACAAGTGCTAATTTATGTGTCAAAGCCCATCTTGTCCCCTTCATACATATGCAATCGTGTCTGAACAACAAATCGGCGCGCAGGAGCGTGCTCGTGACCGATGGCGATGCTGCACCATGGCAGAGCCTGAGATTTCCCGTCTGGGGAGCTCCTGCTGCCTGCATCCCTGCTCGCCACCAAAGCCCCCCGCTCCTGGTTGCTGGCGTCCTTCGAACAGCCCGGAGTGCTCCGGCCTTGGGGGCTGTTTGCCGACACCAGCCCCGGCTCCCTCCCCGCGCCTCTTCATCAAACTCCCTGAGGCGTCAGGCTGCGAAGCCTTCTCGTCCCTAGCCCTGCTGAAAGGTTATGGAAATCTGCTCATCGACCTGCTTGGCACGGGAACACTCAGAGCATGATAATCGGGGAGACAGTGAGGTGGGACACGGCGGTCCAGGATGTGACCACGCAGAGCTCCTCTCTGGGATAATGGAGGGGAGAGATGTCGGAGTTACTGGAGTGAGAACCATCTGTGTTACAGCCAAACCTGGACACAAAGGCAATGACACAGGGTTCATTATGTGCCAGGAACCCCTCCCCCCGAGGCATTATTATGGAGTAACCTTTGATCAAGACCAGAGAGAGGCTTAAACGGAGTCTGGGGATCTCAACAGTCGCAAACTTTTGATCCACATCTCCGTCTTGCCAGTCGGGTCTGCATCTGGAGGAGGACACCTCTCCTCCCGTGCAGCAGATGGCTGTGTGTCCTCCTTGTCCTTTTCCTCTCCTTCCCTCTCTGGCTGCCTCCCTGCTGGCACGGTGTGCCAGAGCCAGGCCTCACTCCGGGGGTACCCACTGCCTCCTGGGTTGCATCGTCCTTGCAGACAGTGCAGCTCCCGCGGCTTCTGCACTGCCTGACCCCTGTCCCTCCTGGCGGGGAGGCGATGGTGGGGGTGTTGTGGGTTGATGGCCTAAGGATTACGGCTTGGGGAAGGCTTTGGGAGGACAGGCAAGAGCCAATGTCTGAGAAAAGGCAAGAGCTGTGAGAAAAGGTGCCCGTGAGCTGGCTCCAGCCCTGAATTCTCTCAACAACTCAGTCCCATTAAGAGAAGATAACATCAGGCGAGGGCCACACAGGCTCAGGGTTCTCGTGGGGAACTCTGTCAGGTCCATAATGCTCATCACCAGCCATTAGCACTAGCCAGTTTTAAGGATAGGGGAGCTAATAACGTTTTAGCACCTCTTTCCCCTCTCTTCCCATACATTCACAACTAGTTAAAGAACAGTGTCCAAGTGAAGAGATGCTTTTTTTCTTTGTCTTTTTTTTTTTTCACATACCTAACTTCCAAATGGCTGGCATGGGAGGGTTGTCCTGCCTTTGAAGGGAAGTTGCTTTTATTACAAGGTTTTATTGACTTCTGTAAAACTTCTCACCTCTTGATTGCAGAGAGTGCCCAGAAAAGAAGGGAGGGGGCAGATCTCAGGCAGGGAATTGCTCCTTTCCAAGCAGCCACCATGAGTATTGCAGAATGAGCAGCCAGCCCTGGCTCAGGGAGGAACGATGCTGCAGGGCTGGAGGAATCCCCCTTGAATGTTTTATCCAGGTGTGCAAATGCCATGTGCAAGGAAAAATACATGCTCTGTAATGTATGGGTTTGCTGGCATAATAATTCCGATGTGTAATTTTTGGTTCATGCGTTCTTTGGGATCAAGATCTGGCCCCGTGTGTCAGATTATTAAATGGCAAATTAAGTCAGTTAATAGAATTAATTGAGTCGATGTAATCCTTTTAATCAGATGGATTTGATCCCTGCTCAGATGAATTAGAATCCATCAACAGATAAGTCAATTATTGGACTAAATTGAATCTAATAATAATGCCTGCTGCTCACAGCAACACTAATTAATCTAAATACACTTACCTATCTCCCAAGGTTGTTTTTTTTTAAAGGCTTAATTGATGTTCCTAAAGTGCTCTGAGATCTTTAGATAATAGACGATCTATGTGAGCAAAATATTATCTCTTAACAGACTATAAACTAATTAAAAGACTGATCTATTTACAGATTGCATTTTTACTTTAATCTCTTCAACCTATGCAGAAGGAGTTTGCACTGGCCCAGAAAAACAATATTCCTGTTATAAGCTTATTATTACTTTACAGGTTCCTAAGTGGTCCTTTCATTCAGAAAATGAAAGGGGGAAGGGGGAAAAACAACCATTAAAGTGCTGACAAAAAAAAGAAAAGGACCTGGAACCTTTATATTCTACCTCTGATAAATGGTACAGATAGGGAAGAGAGAGATCAGTGACCTGAAACCTTAGATCCTTTCATTTATTTTCATTTCACAAAAGGCAGAAGACATTCTATCCTGTTTGTTCACGATCTGTGTATCCGGCGCAGTTGGGGAGACAGAGCTCTCTTGGTTGGGTGAAGGCATTTTTTTTTGCCTTATTTGTATTTCACAGCCATGGGATTTTTGGTTTAATTTGTCCCCAGCTACTGCTGTCCTGCGGGGCAACGAGCAGTGATAGCCATCGGCAGAGAGGGGAGAGGTGTGAGAGCCCTTTACTGCCCTCTCGGTGGAGGTAACCTTAATTTGCTTGGATGTCCTGAAGGCTGGGATGTGCTGGTAGGTACATTACTAGTCGGCATGTTCCAGGTGGTATTTTGTCCATGGACCTATTCCATCACAATTTAAAAAACACTCTTGGCTCCCCCAGAAGGTTATAAACCCTCTATTTTATAAACCTTCTCATTTATGTGCCTTCTAGTCTACAGCATAGAGGCTGTGTTTGAGGACACCCTGTGCAAGGGGCGGTGCACAGGTAGGATATCTCTCCTCAGCACCCCAGTGCTGGACCCTGAGCCAGTGACAACCCCTCAAACACTCCCCCTGGGTTCAGTGGGTTTTAGCCCAGGACTCCAGAGATGCTCCTGAGACAGGAGGTTTAGGGGGGTTAACAGACTACGGTTTGCCAGCAGTCGACACATCTGGTGTCAGGTAGATCAAGGGGGGAAGGAACCCCAAGAGGTTGTGTGCGTGCAAGATGCCAGGTGTTACCTCCACATGTCATGGGCGTGCTGGGGACAGAACACCCCGTACAGATGTGCTTTTTTGGGTGGTACAGAGAAAGCAAGGAGCTGGGGAAAAATGGGTGACTCCTTCCTGGGGCCACTCCAGCCTGGGTGGTGTGCTCTGCAGCTTGCAGCCCCCACCTTCTGTTCAAGCTGGAGCTTCCATGAGATGCCAGTGGACCTGCCCATGGAGAGCACATTACAGCTGTCTAGACATCAGCCACACTCCATCCCGCCAGAGATTTCATTTGTGGTAGAAGTGGGCTCTGTTCCATGAGG